ACTTGAGGACCAAGGCTAAGGAAGTAGGTGATGAGATGACTCTGGGTTTTGATCAAAGGTTAAGTTATGGGATGGTTGATGCTGACTGAGATGGTTAACTCCAGTATCATCCATTTACTCTTTAGCAAGGAATTGTCTCAGCGGTAGTAACCTCAACAAGTATTGGTATATCCCAGGAACTAACTGTAAATGAGCATTGTCTCATTTTTCTGAAGATAATAGTCTCATTTGTTCTTTAAAACAATTAAAATTTTTCTTTGCTAGTCTTTAAATTGAAATGACTTCATCAAATAACACTTGAATGATTCCATTTGGAAAAATGCTGGCCATATTCATGGTGCTTACCCAGTGTGTCATGTCACACAGAAACACAGCTTTGACATACTCTCCTTTCTTTATTAAGTTATGTACATAATAAACCATAAAAGGACTCTATGTTTTCACAAAAGTAAGCTTCCTTTTAGTCAGAATTGCCTCCAGTTCTCTTAACTGATTCCATCAGATGGATAACACACCTTTGAATGTGTTCGGTGTGTCTAGGAATGACAATAAGTTGTAGCACATGCATGACTTTTGGAAAAATATGGCATCTCCCACCTCACTTATCTAAATACAGTAAAAGTATAGTGTCTTGGACCTCACTTACCTAAGTTTGGGCGCATCAAAGTATCTGCGGAACAACTGCTTGGTGACATAGATTTTTTTTTTGCCCCGTTTGTTTGATGAAAAGTAACCCACCTTTTTCTTGTTTGTGTGTGTGTGTGTGTGTTTTTTCAGGGAATATGCAATAGCTATAGGTCATCGGTTGCAGGATCATGGCCTTGTGGTGGAAATGATTCACCTTGCCTCTGAGTCGAGCCTCACTCGAGCACTCCAGGAAGTTAAAGACGATGGGTCCCCATTTTGTATTCTTGTCGAACAGTCCAACATAAAACTTTCTTCCTGCACTGTAATTATGCTTCATGAGTCTATCAAAAGTAAGTTTAGCTCAGTCTAGAACCATCATCTAAAATAGATCCTGCTTTTAAAATGTAATATTTTTCCTTTGTATGTGAGTACATTCTGAAGGTTCACATTTGTCAGTAACTAAACTGGATCCAGTTAAGAAAAGATGACTTGAAATGTTATCACAGAGTTCTCTTTGGTATATTGTAGACAGTTGAAACTTAAATTGTCTTCATTGCTTCTGACTTAAGGATCCAAAATATCGCATCCAAAATATTATGTAACCAATTCAGGTTTCTTATGTGGAACGTTTGACCAGGTCCCACCATCATTTTTTCTGCCCTTGGTGATAATGAGACTCCATGTTCATTATCCCCTTCATTCTCTTACACCTTCCTTGCCAACTCTGCCTTCTGTATGAGATCTTGAACATACAACGAGAATTCACAGAAATGAACTCTTTTCCCCCTCCCTGAAATACCCAGACTTTGGCGGATGCACGTGTCCTAGACCACCCTCAGCTTCTCCCTCCTGGTCAGAGCTGCTACTTCTAGGGAGGAGGGGGCTGCCTTGAGTAGGGCCTTTAGCAGCTTACCTGGAGTTATAGCCAGACAAGCATGGGTGTACCAGTCCTCTCGTATTTGCAGAAGCTCTTGGTACTGTTCTGTTCAGTCCAGACATATTGAGTTCCTCCTGTGTGCCAGGCCCTCTGCAAGATGTCAGGCCAACTTTGCTTCCTTGTTTTGTCCAGGTAAGCAGCAGCCAGGCACACTTCTCCAACAGACCCTGGACTGTCCATCCCGGCTCTAGAGTTCTTAGCAGTGTAGGATGTTCATTGCTGAGTCAGGAGATCTTTCCTGTGGGCAGAGACCTTGTGGAGCACTAGTAGCTGGATTTATATGCTGCTTATAGCTTCTGGAGCTTGCAGAGAAGTCAGCGTAGGGTTGATGTTCAATACTCCAGCCATCATATTGGGTCTGAAAAAACAATAGGGAAGAACACTTGTTCCCCATCATCTTGGGGATGCCAGAATACCTTTTATTCTGACCAGTCCATTTGCTTTGCCTCTTTGTAGCCACCCACACCCATCTGGCCAGCCCTTGCTCAATACCCAAGAGTATGAAATAGCAGTTTCTCTAAGCATAGAAAAATGTCCAATTTATCTTAAAGAAATAAGACTAAACCACATTTATGTGGTACATAAGTTCCGAAAATGTGAAAGAAAATGCATACTTTCAAAAATTACAAATCCCAGTCTCCTGGGGTGGGGATGGAGAACTGTATAATTTGGACAGATTGTGCAAAAGATGAATCATGTCTGGTTACTTAAGTGTTATGTTCATGCACAGTCATTTAGGAAATTATCACTAAAATAAGTAGGTTGAATAATTTGTTGAATACTGAAATACTTCAGAAAAACCCAGCATTACTTCAAGAAAAGTGTAATCTACTTTTAACATGTTACAAATTCAGAAGATAGCTTCTTCATCATGTCCAGAAAAGTATTAATAGGTAAGTGTTTCATTTCTCATTTGTGAATTTAATTATTGAACTCAGATCATAAGTAAAAAGAACACTTTGTTTCCTCCTATAAGCTGCGTCTGTTTTAGTAAGACTAGTCTTAGTTGGGCTCTCTTTCACAATGCTTTGTAGCCAACAGTTTGCTTCATACCTTGCATGCAGCCATTATTCAAAAGCGTGTGGAGCTGCTTCTGTGCTGAGACAAATATGTAAAATAGTCAAACAATGAAACTTCAGCACCTGAAGACAAATATCTATTCATACTTCTTCCTAAATGTAACCTTAATAAACACAGTTTAAGATTTAGCCAAATACCATAATCTCCACTGTAGTTCTGTGGTGTCCCTTGGGTCCAAAATTTGTTCAGAAGCACGTGATATATGGCAAGACAGGGTAGGGGCCTCCTGTCTCAAATTAAACTTTTATTAGGTCTCATTCTCAGTAAATAAACCTAGGGGAGATCAGAAGACTGTGCACTGACTACAGCCATCAAGTTACGTAAAAGCTATGCTACGCGTCTAGAATCCATTTTCTGTGTAATATTGAGGACCCAGAGCACTCCTGACCTGACCTGGAAAGGGTTTTAACACGGTTTAAGGCCCCATACACCTGAACCAAAGAGTGCAGAGGCACCTAGAGGATGTGTGTTACACCTCATGCTGCAATGACAGAGCCAGGAAGCCCTGCGCCGCATGTCTGTCCATCTATCTGCCTTTTACCAAAATACTGCATATGCAGAGTTAAAAGATAAACACTGAAAAGTTCATAACGAGAAACAGCAGCCCCTGCTTCACTCTTTTCTCACCCCGCCTCCCCATCTAGAGGCTGCTGTTCTCAGGTCCTGGTTTCTTCTGTGAATCACACTCGTCTCGAATCATACACCCTGATTACTGGACCCAAATGAAAACCTTCATTTTCAGTTTTTTTTTTTTTTAATGAAAAACTTCCAGTAGCCAGTGATGGTTGTAGTTGCATCCTGTCTCTTTTTTTAGGCTAGATTTGTTTAGCCCTAAGAATTCCCATTGACATACATGCCACATATCTCTCCTCTCTCTCTCCCCCTGACCCCCTCTATCTCAGCTTAGCATGAAGCTATCCAATTGTGAAATAAGGGTGTATATGGAAACAGTAAACCACGCTGTCACATGTTATAATTTTGAAACAGAATGTGATGTTTGATTTTGAAATCTGACAGGGCACCTGCTGTTGAGGGTCCCGGTCTCTCGAGTCAGTAGACAGTCACATCTGTACTGAAAGCTGAGACAGTTTAAACATGTTCTTAGACTAACCATGTTATCTTCTGATTGCTTTTCCTCTTGTCTTTTTGTAAACGTATTTTAAAAGCAAACAGAGCACCCATTTGATGTAAAGCAAGCTCTTTCTTGTCCCTAGTACATCGGCATATGCCCCTGGAGGATGCCCTGGTGCTGGTGGCTAAAGAACATAGGAGAGTTTTTGCTAAGCGGGAGCAGCAGGAACGCACTGAAACTTCTCTGAGGGCTGGAGATCTGGTAGATGACTTCCTGGCCCGGGAGTGCCTCACCAGCTACTCTGTCCCTTCGGGCATTCAGCATCTTCTTTTCCTGTTAAACGAGGGCAAGCATTTGTACAGGAATGAGCTGGACGTACTCATCGACTACCTGAAGACCAGGAAAGGACAACTGGAAGGTATTTGGCACCATCCCTTTTCTTTCCCTATTTTAAATCCCAGAAAATCCTTTTCTAAAAAATCCATGTATGAAAGAAAACTAACAGCTTTTCATTTAGTTGAGAGAATGTACCTCTGTAATACAGAGGTATCTGATTTGAACATATCCTGGGTGGGAATACACTATTTTATTTATTTTTACTTTTTGTGGGGGCAGATAATTATATTTATTTAGTGATTGTTTTTAGTGGAGGTACTGGGGATTGAACCCAGGATCTTGTGCATGCTAAGCACACACTACCACTGAGCTACACCCTCCTCCTCCAGGAATACACTATTTTAGTGTTTAGCCTGTTGAGACTGAAATGCTGCTTCTGAAGCTTAATTTTCTTTTGAACCAGATTTTTAATGTATAAATAGGATGCCCTCTCTATATAGATGGACATGTAGGAAACAGTTCTAGTTCCCTTTCAGTTTATTTTTCTGATTCTGTTTTTTTGTTGTTGTTGTTGTTGTTGTTAATTGAGACATTTTAAGAGTACTTTGAAGTGTGTGGTAAATGTAAAGAAGCAGTTCCTACTCTCACCTGTTTTAAAGAGCACTCCAGTTACAAGTCAAGTCCTTAAAGTAGTGACTTTTCAGATTGCTTGTTTTGAGTTGAGTAGGTGAGAAGAAAATAATAATCACTTGTCCCTTGTAGGGAAAAGCAGCTGAAGTTACAGGACCATGTTAAAGCTTTAAAGAAATTGTTATTCTTATAAAATGTGGACTGTATTTTATTTTTTGTGCTTTTATTGAACTTACTTTCTCAGGATGGGGATGGAATCCGTAAGCTTTTTAAAGCATAGCGGTTTTGTTTCTTTTTTCTTCTGAGTGCTTATTTAATTTATTTTTTAAATTTGTCTTTATTGAGATAAAACTGACATTTAACACATTAGTTTCAGGTATACAACATAATGCTTCAATTATCTGTTTATGTTGTGTAGTGCTCACCACAGTAAGTCTAGCTAACATCCTGTTGCTTTTTTATTATAGAAACCTCTAAGTAGGAAGAATCAAAAACCTTCCTGGAATTACCTGAGTAATTGTGCAGCTTGCTGGCCTCTGCAGCAGATTTCTGCTGACCATTTGTTTTCTTCACTTTTCCAGGCTTTGAGACACCAAATCCTTTGGCCAGCAGTGATCATCCCTCATTTCAAGGCAGAACTACCCTCACCGTGGGCAAGCCACCTCCACTTCTTCCAACCCCCAGAAAGAGATCCTTCGTAGGCCCTCCTCCCCCACTTCTTGTCAAGTCCCCTTTGTTAGGTGAGAGGCCAGGCAGTCTCCCTCCACCACCCGGTCAGTGCTTCCCTCTCGGCATACGACCTAGCGGTCGCTCTTCTGTTTCCATGAGAGTTCTCCTGAGGATGCAGGATAGTTTAGAGCAGCGACAGTGTTTGTTGCTACGTTTTTAATGACTAATCCAATTTCAGAAGGCAGGAGAGATGCTTTGAAGTTCAATGGGTGCTATTTCTCTTGAACGAATTGCCTTAAGTTTTAATACAGGGAGAGGTTTAGAGAAGCTCTTTGACCAAGGTTTGTGACCTCAGTTAGAGTGACTTCGAGTTGTCATAATGAGCACTCTGAATTCAGTAGTGTTTTTAAAATTTTTTTCTATTTTTAATTGAAGTTATAGTCAATTTACAGTGTTGCGTTAATTTCTGGGGTACAACATAGTGATTCAGTTATGCAGACATATATATATCTATATATATTCCTTTTCTTATTTTTTTCCATTATACGTTACTACAAGATATTGAATACAGTTCTCTGTGCTATACAGTGGGACATTGTTGTTTATCTGTTTCTATATAGTAGTTGGTACCTACAAATCCCGAACTCCCAATTTATCCTTCCCCCACCTCCTTTTTCCCTGGTAACCATGTTTGTTTTCTATGTCTGTGAGTCTGTTTATGTTTTGTAAATAAGTTCGTTTGTGTCATTTTTTCAGATTCCACATATAAGTGATATCATATGGTATTTGTCTTTCTCTTCCTGATTTACTTCACTTAATATGATCATCTCTAGGTCCATTCATATTGCTGCAAATGACATTATTTCATTCTTTTTTATGACTGAGTAGTATTCCATTGTGTGTGTGTATTCCACAACTTCTTTATACAGTCATCTGTCAATGGACATTTAAGTTGCTTCTATGTGTTGGCTATTGTAAATAGTGCTGCTGTGAACATTGGGGTGCATGTATCTTTTGAAATTAGTTTCCTGCAGTTGTATGTCCAGGAGTGGAAGTGTTAGATCATATGGTAAGTCTATTTTTAGTTTTTTAATGGATCTCCATACTGTTTTCCATAATGGCTGCATCAAACTGCATTCCCATCAACAGTGTAGGAGAGTTGCCTTTTCTCCACATCCTCTCCAGCTTTTATCATTTGTGGACTTTTTAGCGATGGCCATTCTGACTGGTGTGAGGTAATATCTCATTGTAGTTTTGATTTGCATTTCTCTGATAATTAGCAATGTTGAACATTTTTTAATTGGACATCTATATGTCTTCATTGGAGAAATGTTTGTTTAGGTCTTCTGCCCATTTTTGGATTGGGTTGTTTGTTTTTTTGTTACTGAGTTGTATGAGCTATTTGTATATTCTGGAAATTAAGCCCTTGTCAGTCACATCATTTGCAAGTATTTTTCTCCCATTCCTAGTCTTTTTGTCTTGTTTATGGTTTCCTTTGCCGTGCAAAAGCCTATAAGTTTAATTAGGTCCCATTGTTTATTTTTGCTTTTATTTCTGTTGCTTGGGTAGACTGACCCAGGAGAACATTGCTGTGATTTATGTCAGAGAATGTTTTGCCTATGTTGTCTTCTAGGAGGTTTGTGGTGTCTTGTCTTATGTTTAAGGCTTTAAGCCATTTTGAGTTTATTTTTGTGTATGGTGTGAGGGAGTGTTGTAACTTCATTGATTTAAATGCGGCTGTCCATTTTTCCCAACACCACTTGCCAAAGAGACTGTCTTTTCTCCATTGTCTATTCTTGCTTCCTTTGTTTAAGATTAATTGACTGTAGGTGTGTGAGTTTATTTCTGGCTCTTTACTCTGTTCCATTGATCCATATGTCTGTTTTTGTGCCAGTACCACACTGTTTTAATTACCGTGGCTTTGTAGTATTGTCTGAAGTCTGAGAGGATTATACCTCTAGCTTTGTTCTTTTTCTTCAGTGTTGCTTTGGCAATTCTGGGTATTTTGTGATCCCATATAAATTTTAGGATTATTTGTTCTAGTTCTGTGAAAAATGTCCTCAGTACTTTGAAGTAGTGTTTTTGAGGTTTCTTTTCTGAGCAGTTGGTGCTAAATAGTATCCAACATCTGCCTAAAATGAAGTTTTAGTGCTGTGGATTTCTCACATTGCCAGTGACATAAAAACCAACTCGAGTTAGCTTACAACAAGGGGACTTGATTGGCTTGTATGACAGGAAATCCCGAGCTGACTAACTTTGGGCCACACTGGATCCTGCTGCTCATGCAGCTTCATCAGACATCCATCTCTTACCTCTGGGAGGAGAACTGGGTGGGCACAGACTCCCACTCGAGCCCAGTGGTCAGCCCTGTAGGGTTTCTGGTTCGTCCAGTGTTGGAGCTTTTCCCTGCTCTTGAGGGTAAAGAGTTCAGGCACCTAGGATGTAGTTTCCTCCATTTACTCACTGTCCCTTCTGTTCCTCACCTTCCCAAACATTTGTTCATACACTCTGTCTCCTCCCCTGTCCTCCTTGTGTGTTGGCAGTGGGAGCGGAGGAGGAACCAGATGAGAGCATGTTTTCAATCTTCCATGTTAAAGAGGAAGTTGTCAGTGAGGTCTTCTCAGGAAGGTGGCTTTTCACCTGGACCTTAAATAAAATTTAGACCTGGAGATGCATTTGTTCATAAGAGTCATCTATTGCTTTGGCCTCCTATGTGAACAAGGGTTATTTTTGAACCAAAAATTTTTCCTTTGAGCACAATATTTCCACCTTGACTATTATTGTGGATTGTAATTGAGGGAATGTGCCCGCTTGCTTTCTAGCTGTAGTACACACATCTTTTGTTGGCAGTGTCAGTGCACTGAAGCTCCACAGCCCTAGGGACGAGCATTTCCGTACCCCCTCCCTTTTTGACCTGTTGACTTTCAGGGTGAGCGAGGGTGTATCAGTTCAGCATCTTCTCTGTCCCCATCACGGCCTGCGCTTTGTTTGCCATGTCTTTGTTTCTTCCCTTCCTTCTCCCGTTGTCCTGGCACTCCCCTGTGCCTCAGCCACAGGCCTGTTCTTACTACCTGGTTGCTTCCCATGAGAAGTGAGTGAATAAAAGGGAGGAGGGCTCAGGAAGAAATCTTTTTTGCCTTTAATGGTTTCCCATCCTTGCCATTAGTTTAAAAACAAAACTCTTCTAGACCTTCAAAAAGGGCTAGGTTCTTGCTTCAGGACCTTGGCAAGAACTGGGAGAAAATGTCCTGTTCAGCAGGGTGAGGATTGTGCCTGGCAGACTGTCACCAAGAGCAAGGTGACAGGGCACTAGACCATGTGTTACACCACTGGGGGCCCGTGTCCTGGGTGGATGGATGTTAGATTCTGAAGAACAGAGTGCTTCAGGTATGTTGTGGGTCTGCCTTTATGACCTGTCTGGGAACCTAAGTGCTTTGGATGTTTGAGAAAATGTATTACATTTTTTTCTCTTTTTCTTCAGTATTACTTTGGCAATTCTGGGTCTTTTGTGTCAAAACAGAATGTTTGGAACAAAACCCACTTGTGAGAAGGTGAAGGTGGAGGACCAGGATGTCAGGACAGGCATGGACTTAGGCCCAGGGTTTTCAAACTTCTTTTTAAAGAGCCAGATGGTAAATATTTCATTTTAGACTTTTCAGGCCAAGAAGCAAAATTAAGGATATTATGTATGTACTGATATAACCATTTATAATGTAACCATTTAAAAATGAGAAAACCATTCTGGCTTGCAGGCCATACCAAAACCAACAGTAGGCTGGATTTGGCCCCCAGACTCTAGTTTGCTGAACCCTGGATAATCACTGAGTCACAGTCTGGGCTCAGAGAGGACTTGGCAGAGCTTGAGGAGCTGAGGTTGTGCTTGGTGTGCGTGGCAGGTGCTCCCTGCTCAGCCCCTTTCTAAAGATGAGGAAATGTCCCTTTGGGGCAAACAGCTGGAATGGGTTCGTCATGCATCTTCCCATTTATGTTTTGGTTTTGTTCTCTGCAGGATTGGTCAACCCCAAAGGTCTGTTTCCCCCTCCCCCACTTCTGGCAGTCCCCTCCAAGAGGCCTGCACCTTTGGGATGCCTCCCTCCCAAGCCTCCCAAACGTCCATTACTTGGGGAGAAGCCAGGCCTTTTAGTACCACCACCAGGTGAGTAGCCAGGTGAGCTTTGAGTGGCATTCTAGGCTCGTACTGACCAAAAGAACTTTCTGTGGTGGGAGAAATGTTCCGTAGCTGCGTTGTCTAGTGAGGTGAGCTGTCAGCTACACGTGGCTATTGAGCCCTTGAAATGTGGCTAGTACGACACATTTGATGAATTGAATTTTTAAAATTTTATTTACTTTTTAATTATTTAAATGATTCTAGTCATGTAGTAATTAAATAAGGGTTGTATGTGGTATGTGGCTGGTGGCTGGTAGTGGTCAGCACAGTTATGGGCTGTTGGAGGCATCAAGAAAATGTCACAGTAGGTAGGAAAGTGTGCTATATTTTTCTTATGTAGAAATCTATTATTTCTTAGTCTTTTTCTCCCTCCCTTCCATTTCTTTTTTTTTAAAGCTACAAATGTACTTAAAAAGGGATGTTGCATCTCTTTCATGAATGGACATCATTGTTATTTGCTCCAAAATAGAAGGCAACCATAATAAAAAGAACACAAAACAATGTTACTCAATTCCTACTCATTACTGTTACCTGCCTCAGTGTCTAAGGTTGAGGCTTACTCCATCCCTGGTAAATAAAGGGAGTTACTAAGGGTCAAGGAGGTGTCAGTGGGACACCAACAATGCAGAAACTCTCTCCTTGACAAGTCAGGAGTGCAAAAGGTTGGCAAAGGGAGTATCTTTTCATGAGACTGAATGTCATTTAGTCATGGGTCTTTGATGTCGTTGGAGGTATATGCCTCATTTCTGCAGGGCTCAAGGAGGAACAGCCCCTTCCCTGCCTGGCCGGAGGACAGGGATCTGATCTACCATATTTAAAGTGCTAACTGATACCCAGCCCTGGCTCAGAGCCTGCACGGGAATAGAGGCTTTTCTCTCTATCTTCCTTCCTTGGCCAGCTCTCATTTTGTCTGATGCTGCCTTCCCTCCTGCATGGCTCGGGGAGATGAGGCTGGAGGCTTCCAGGCTGTCCCCAAACTCACCAGGGTGTGAGCGCAGACCTTTGGCTGGTCTGCCAAGGCGGTGGGAAGAGCTGAGGCTGTGCTCTGGCTTGGAACAGAAGGCGGCCAAACAGGTGTTTGGCTGCTTCATTTCTAGTCATTCAGACTTACTAAGCCTAGATGAAGGTACCGCCCAGAGTTCCTCTTAATTCTGTCTAAAGATTTGGGGCTGAAGCCCCAGCTATTAGGAAAGTGGGCCTTTGTCCCTCTTCGTTTTCCATGCAAGAGACATTTTTCATAATATTTATTATCATTTAAAAGTTTCAACCCTCTGGTTTTTAGTCTGTGAGGTAGATATTGCTGTGGTTGTGGTATAAAGAATATACATTTACAAAATAGTGGCAAGAGATAGAACAGACGGAGCTCAGTGGCTCCCACCCTCCCGGAGACCCAGATAATTATCTAATTCTGAAGATCCTCCGCTCATGGACCACAATTTTTTAAAAATTTGGAGAACTTTCCTTACCCCCAAAATGGCCTTCCATGGCTTCCAGGGGCCCTCTCAGCCCCAGATTCAAGCACTAATAGTTGGAGAAAGCTCTTTTAAAAAACAAAGATGTAAATCAGAACCATGAGGCATGCCAGTAATAGTTGCCATGTATTGCGTTCTCACTGTATGCCAGGCACTGAGATAATTCCATTGAGTCCTCAGACAACCCTGTGGGCTACGTACTGGGATCATCTCCATTTGCCACATGAGTCACCTAAGGCTCAGAGGGCGATTAACCCGCCCAAGGTCACACAGCGGCACCTGGTGGAGCCGAGGCTGCGCACCAGCCGTGTGACTCTGTGCTCTGTGCTCTAGCCACCACGCAATCCCAGCAGCACAGATGTGTTATCAAATTGATGTTGCTTTCAAAAAAGTCATAGATTTTTGCTTGGATTTCAACCACATTCTTCCACCCACACTCCCCTTTGACAAAAGGCTAAAAGTGTTTTCACATCCCTTACCTGTTCTGATTCATCACAGTATAAGGCTGGTAGAAGTTCAGAGGGAAGGAGTGAATGCGGTTCATGTGAGTCAGGTGAAGCACCAGCATCTCCTGTTAAAGAGAGAGCTTCCGGTGAAAAGTGTTTATGACTCAGCGAAGGTAGAGAGGGGCTAGGTGTCCTCTGTTCCTCCTTTGTAAAATGGGAGCTGTTACCACGATTAAATGAGATAATATGAATGAAAATCTGATAGACACTCCAAAAACTGCACAGATGTCTGTGATGTGGCGACTTGGTTAATCTGATTTAGCTCGCAAAGGTGGGTGGCTGGGGGCTCTGCAGACCAGAGAAGGGACATAAATTGACACTGCTGTGTTCCTCCTCTTTGCAGTTCTTTTGCAGTCGGTGCTGCACAAGCAGACAGTTCAACCTGTGTCTTTGCTGAACTAAGGAAAGCTTCTCTGAGCCAGAACAAGGTAGCTGCACCCAGGCAGTAGCCTCACTCTCCTCTAAGAACCAAGCCCCCTGTCTGGCCTGCAGCCCTGATGCCCAGGCATTGGGTACAGACGTGGCATCCCTTCTGTCCCATACGTGGTCCCATGGAAGCTTTTCTCACATTTGGGGTCTTTTTGTGCCAAACTAGATATTTGCGGAAGGTCATAGTGGTAAACATTGGATCTTGAAGTTGTTCAGTTACATGCATATTAAAAACCAATGAAAACTTAGAGTTTTTATACACTGGTTGCCCCCTTAAAAAAAAAAGGTTTTATTTTGGAATAATTTTACATTTATAGAAAATATCAAGTGATAGTACAGGGCGTTTTTTTAATCTAAATTCTCCTTCCTGAATCTTGTATAATGAAGGCACAGTTACTAGGAAATTAGCATTAGTGCAATAATATTAAATGTACTACAGAGTTTATTCATATTTCACCAGTTTTTCTACTAACGTATTTTGTTTTGTTTTGTTTCAGGAACCTGTTCTGGGCACTTCATTGCATTTAGGCCCCTTTTAATTTTATTCTGTTCCAGTTTTTTATTATGAAACATTTTAAGTATATAGAAAATTTGAATGAATACTGTAATGAACACCCATGTATTTTGTATCTAGATTCAGTAATTATTAACATTCTGCCATTTTTTAACTTATACATATGCTGTATAAATAAAATTTTTTCTTAACCATGAAAAGTAGTTGCAGAGTTCATGACATCTCACCTTTAAGTCCTTCACATGCAGCTCCTAAGAAGAGAGACATTCTCTTACCTAATTACGATACCATTTTCACACCTTAAAAACTAATAGCAGTTCTATTACATCTAATCTCTGGTTCTCATATTTGAATTTCTAATTGTCCCCCCAAAAATGCTTTTGCTTTATATATCTTGGTTCTCCTGTATTGGGTGTATTTACATTTATAAATGTTCTATCTTCTTGCTGGATTGACCCTTTTATCATCATGTAATGCCCTCCTTTGTCTTTCATTACAATATTTATTTTAAAGTCTATTTTGTCTGATATGAGAATAGTTACTCCAGCTTTCTTCACCCAAGGGTGCTTTTATGGCCTTTTTAAAAACCAGGAGTTAATTAAGGTTTGTACATTGCACTTAGTTTTTATGTGTCTTTAGTTTCTTTTATCTTATTATTATTTTTTTTAACACTTCAATGCTTTCCTGACACACTTTGTTTTGTTTTATTTGTTTATTTTTTTGAGGGAGAAGTAATTAGGCTTACCTATTTATTTATTGATTTTTTTAATGGAGATACTGGGGATTTTAATGGAGGTACTGGGGATTGAACCCAGGACAGCATGCGTGGTAAGTATGCACTCTACCATTTGAGCTATACCCTCCCCCAGTTTCTTTTAATCTAGAGCAGTCTTCGTACCTCTTTTTTTTCCCCCTAGTGATACTGACTAAGCCAGTTGTCTTATAGAATATCCTGTATTCTAGATTTGTCTGATTGTTTCCTCATGGTATCACTTAACTGTTCTTTTTTCTTTTTTTTATTGAGGTACAATCAGTTTACAATGTGGTCTTAATTTCTGGTGTACAGCACAATGCTTCAGTCATGCATGAATATACATCTATTCATTTTCATATTCTTTGTCACCATAAGCTATTACAAGATATTGAATATAGTTCCCTGTGCTATACAGTATGAACTTGTTAATCTATTTTATGTATATTTGTGTCTACAAATCTCAAACTCCCAACTTATCCCTTCCTACCCTAACTGTTCTTCTATTCCCTGTATTTTCTGCACGCTGGAAGTTTGGTCTAGAGGCTTGGTTAGATTTAGGTCCTACGTTTTTGGCAAGGATATGTCATAGGTGGTGCAGTTCCATACTGCATTGTATCAGAAGGCGCGTTAACAGTTGTCCTGCTGGGAGTGCTAGTCTGGCTGGTCACTTGGGTAAGGTGCTGACTGCTGTGGGACAGGTAGTTTTTTTCCCCTAAGGCATGATGCTTTGGCACGGAGCAAGTATCCTGTTCCCTAACAACTTTTACCTAATGATTTTAGTGTCCATTGATGATTCTTGCCTGCCTGTGTTGTATCAGACCCTCCCTTCTTTTAGTTGAAGTATGTCTTAAGTGTTCAGTTTACTGAATTTTAAAAATTGTACATACCCATGTAACCAGCACCCCAAACAGGGTATCAACATTCCATCACTCCACAACATTGCAGGCACTTCCCTATCCTTCCCCCAGCCCTTTCTGACTTCTGTAACTTTAGTTTTGTTTGTCCTTATTTTTTATATAAGTGAAATCATGTGATGTATATTTTGTTGAGCCTAGCATCTTTTGCTAATAGAATTATTTTGAGATTCACCCACACTGTTGCACGTGCCCACAGAGCATTCCATTTTGTTGCTGAGCAGGAGGTCATTGTATGGACATGCCACAGTCTGTCTGTTCTCCCGATGCTGGACTTTTTAGCTGTTGTAAGATTGCTATGAATGTTCTTGTATATATCCTTTATGGACATATATTTTCATTTCTCTTGAGTAAACACCTAGGAGTGGAATTGCTGGGCCATAGGATAGATGTATGTTTAATTTATAAGAATTGGTCGGAGTGGCTCTGACATTTGACGTAGCCACCAGCCGCATCAAAAGGCTCTGGTTGCTCCATACCCTCACTTTTGATGTTGTCAGCCTTCATTTCAGCCTTTCTAATGGGTGTGAAATGTTTGTCATTATTGCTTTAGTTTGCATTTCTCTGATGACTAATGGTGTTGAGCACCTTGACTTTTTCATTGTTTATCTGTTCAGGGAATAAGTTAAGTGAAGATTAAAAGATTTTTCGCAGTGCATCAGTTTCCTAGGGCTCCCATAAAAAAGGACCACAAGCTGAGTGGCTTAAAACAAATTATCTTACAATTCTGGAGGCCAGAGGCCTGATATCAAGGTGTCCCAGGGCTGTGCTCCCTCTGAAACCTGTAGGGGAGAGTCTTTCTTTGATTCTTCTAGCTTCCAGCCCTTGGTGTTCCTTGACTTCTAGATGCATCACTCCTGTCTCTGCCTCCATCATCACATGGCTGTCCTCTCTCGTGTGTCTTCATGACATCTGTCCCCTGTGTGTGTGTTTTGTCTTTTTTTAAT